AAATTGTTGTGTTTAAACTAGCTAAAAACTAACAACTTCCAAGTTTGTTTGCAGAAAATTCAAAACCTGGGTTCAAAATGTTGATGTGGAAACCATTAGCATAAACATGCTGGTTGGGCCCATGGAAATAGAGTAGTATAAAGAATGAAAAGGATAAAGTATGCAAGATAGGACCTAAAGGAATGCCATGTTTTTAGGGAAAGAACTTGGGGAGGATATTGCTATGTAGTAACTACTATCTGGGACAGCATATCCCCCAAACTCCCATCTCTACCTACAGCAATCTCCTTTTACCTGCCCGCTGGAAATACCTCCTAAAACAGAAACCAAATCATATGGTTTAGCAGCACAAAAATCTTAGTTGACTCCATATTTGTCCATGATGTCCAGTCCTCATAAGGTTTTTATCCTGGTCCCATCCCTGAAAGAGCCAGTAGACATTTTGACCTGTTTTTCCTTATCTTCCAAGTCACACGTCTTAGCATTCTCTCTTGTAAGACATATCCTTCAAACCTTTGTTTATTGCTTTCTCAAACTGTATCAATTATTGTGCATCTTCAATTGTCAAAATTTCAGTTTGTCTCTTAAGTTCCACCTGGATGCTCCCTCATCTGTGAGTCCTTCCGATTCCAGCTCCAAATCATGGCCTCTCCTCTACTCCACACATTTCCCTTTCAGCTTTTCCCTAATGTATCTCACTATGCCTTGTTAGTTATCTATGCACCTTTCCCTCATGAGATTATAAACTCTTAAAGAATAGGGTCTTCTGATCATTTAATTTTGCATCCCTGAGGCATCTGGCACAGGCTCTTAGAGTGGGGCTCCATAGTATTTGTTGTTTTTTCAGTTGGCACAACTGGTACCTAAAACTACAAATCATGGGTAAAGATGGTTTTCACTCTGTATAGTAAGCTTCTATGAACTGTATTGCAGTGCTGGAGGTCCTTTTTTTTTTCTAAAACAAGAGTATTATAATTGGAGGATTTAGCGTCAAATAAATCCAGATACATAATCAATGATAAATTCTAAAATTAGAATCAACTCCAAACCTTTATGAATATATAAAATTATGCTCCTGGAAATAGAATTTTAGCAATAAAGGAAAATCTAGAATGAGCTTGTCTAATCCAGTAGTTTTCAAACTTGTTTGTGTAGGGCCCTGGGGGCGGGGCTGGGGATTTAGGAAGTACCAGGCCATGCAAACCTAGTTTCACCCAAAGTGATTCTATTTCCACATATTTATTTATTTATTTTTAAATTTTTATTGTTTTATTATTCATATGTGCATACAACGCTTGGGTCATTTCTCCCCCCTGCCCCCACCCCCCTCCCTTACCACCCACTCTGCCCCTTCCCTCTCCCCCTCACCCCCTCAATACCCAGCAGAAACTATTTTGCCCTTATTTCTAATTTTGTTGAAGACAGAGTATAAGCAATAATAGGAAGGACCAAGGGTTTTTGCTGGTTGAGATAAGGATAGCTACACAGGGAGTTGACTCACATTAATTTCCTGTGCATGTGTGTTACCTTCTAGGTTAATTCTTTTTGATCTAACCTTTTCTGTAGTTCCTGGTCCCCTTCTCCTATTGGCCTCAGTTGCTTTTAAGGTATCTGCTTTAGTTTCTCTGAGTTAAGGGCAACAAATGCTAGCTAATTTTTTAGGTGTCTTACCTATCCTCACACCTCCCTTGTGTGGTCTTGCTTTTATCATGTGCTCAAAGTCCAGTCCCCTTGTTATGTTTGCCCTTGATCTAATGTCCACATATGAGGGAGAACATACGATTTTTGGTCTTTTGGGCCAGGCTAACCTCACTCAGAATGATGTTCTCCAATTCCATCCATTTACCAGTGAATGATAACATTTCGTTCTTCTTCATGGCTGCATAAAATTCCATTGTGTATAGATACCACATTTTCTTAATCCACTCGTCAGTAGTGGAGCATCTTGGCTGTTTCCATAACTTGGCTATTGTGAATAGTGCTACAGTAAACTCCACATATTTATATATGAGGCTTTCAAACAAAATCATATTGAAAAATAGTTTTGTTTTAAATCAGTTTCAAAAATACTAGTGTAACCTTCAGACTATTTCTGTATCCTTGGTAACTCTGTGCCTCCATTTCCTCATCTGTAAAATACAAGAATGGTACTATGGTAGCTAATGCTTTTATGCTGAGCCCCTCTGTTTTCAAGTAAACAAAAGCCTCAAAAGAGGTTAAGTGAGTTCTTCATGCCATACAGAGTTAAAGACAGAAACAGTATTAAAATGTAATCACCAACCCTTGTTTGATATTTTTCCTCTCACGTCCTTTAAAAAAAAATCCTACAAAGTAAAGATCAAGAAACTACAGATATTATTTGGAAAAGGTCAATATATCAGCAGGTATATAATCAGCATGTAAAAATAAAGCAATACTGTATCATTAATTTGCCTTATTTAGAAAAAGCTGGTATGCTAGCTAAAATGTACATTGATTGAACATTTACCTGATTTTGTATTCATTCTTCAAGTTTATAGAACTATTTGGGTGAGTTGTTTGCATGGCCCTTTTCTCTTTTACAAAGATATTTATGAGTTTTTTTCTTCTTGGTAAATCTTCACAGAATCAATGGTGGTATTTAAAATCATTCCATTAACCATTCCTTTCATGTTTAAGTCTCACTGTATCAGTTTCATCCCTAAGAAGTTGTGAGGGTTTGGGAAGCAGGAGTCTCTAAATTTGGTCCTTTTGTTCATCATCTTCACTTTGCTCATCTTCCTCTCTTCATCCCCTCCTCTCCAAATCGAGGGTATCCATGAAGAAGAAACAAAGTCACAAAACAACTGTCTGAGAGGTGTGTGTGGAAAAGAGGGAAAGAAGGGCAGTCATGCTCCTTGGTCTTGTTGGGGGGGTAGTTTATGGCTGACCACATTCTGGCCTTGGGGGCTTTTTGTTTAAAGTAAAATAAAACAAAACAGCTCACAGAGACACCTCCTTCTTCCCCCTCCTTTTGCCTTCATGAGTCACTATCCTTGTGACGTGCTGCTGCTGAGACCAAGGAATGAGTGAGTAAAGGTGTTTAGAAGTGAAGTATTGTTCCTAATTAAATAAGTGTCCTTTTCAAATGTTAAAACTTTGACATATGAATCCCCTAATAATTTAGGATTTCTAGGATTTGAACTCAGGCTAAGCCACTTTTGCATCATAAAAAAAAGAATTGGGTATGCCAATTATAGTAATATAGTGATACAGTATGAAGAATGGCAGAGATAATATTTAACCTACTTAAGACAAACTTTCTGCAGACATTACAGCATCCATGTCAAATGAACTGACTGCATTTATAAGCAGGATTGGTAAGACCTACACATGGCAAAGTGTAAAATTTGTTTAGCAGTGATAGGTAATTCTGACTGACTTCTCTCCCCTCAGCCTCTAGAATAAGTTCAAATTGATAAGAATTTATGATTAGAGCTACATGTTGACTTCTTTTTTTTTAAACCCAGTAGTTTTACCAAGTTTCATATACATACATATATTTTTGGTAAGATACAGGGCTTGCCATGGGCAAAAAGATAGAAATAATACTCAGACTTTGTAGAGAAAAAGCATCTTAACTTTAATTTGATTGGTGTGTGTGGAATTTATCTTAACAAGCCTGTAAAGAAATTGGAGAACATCTGTGATGGTTGAGGCTTTCTGAGTTAGGTTTGATGATTTTCCTTACTTGATTGCTGTTTTGGATGAGGGCAGGTAAATTCTTCTGTAATCTGAATTAGTCCTTGAATTTGAGATTTTCCGTAACTGAGTCTAATCAACTTCACTGGTAGAGAAATATTAAGGTGTTGTTAGTTCTGTTGTTGTTTAGCCCACTTATTATAACACCCTCCTTTTACCACTAAGTCTCCTTGTTCTTTAATTCTTGACTTCATTAAATGCTTGGCTCAAAGCTGTGCATATAGCAATAATGATCATAATTGTGCTCCAGAAAAGCATAGTACCCTTTTGAAATCTTTACAATAAGCAAAGCAATACTAGTTTAAAGATAGGCAGTGCCAGATCTTGCTGAGGAATAATCTTGCAGAAATCTGATTGTGAAGGAAGAAATCTAAAAAGACAAAATGGACTTTAGTAGAGATAACATTGGGAAAGCAGTAATTACTCAAAGAAGACTGAAAGAAAAGGTTGTTACCCCCTTGTTCTTCCATTTCATTTGGAGTTTTTTTTTTTTTTTTGGTTTTTGAATTGTTTTAATTTAAATAATTATGTAAATAAGATAAACCTCATTTATATATATTTCAGAACTTTACTGTTATAGCAAATTATACTTTATTTCTGAATGCCAAATGGATCCTTTTCATAACACCTAATTATCTCTAAAAACCATTTGCAATCTACTTCATAGCAACAGTGGATTAATTTACATGATACTGTGTGTCATGCCAAATACCATTTCCTGCAGAATACTTTCGTTTTGAGTGAATGTTTCAAAATCTAGAGGAAGCATCTAATACTCAGAGTATAATTTGGTACCACCAAAAGTGCTTATTACTTTGTTTTTCTCACAAAAGTGCCATTAATAAAACATTATACACTGAAATTTTGTGAAGATTCAAAGAGCTTTAAAATTCAGGCCTTGCATATTGTTCACTTAAGTCTCACTATAAAAATAAATACCAAAAAAATTAAAAGATGCAATCTTGAAACATAATTTTAGAGCTTGAGTAATATGCCACATAATATTAGGAGATTAATTTAGGCTGATAAATAGCCTACATGTTTTTGCAATACATCTGACAACTTTGTAGGAAGGCTTAAATTATCTAGATAACTACTTCCTGGTTTTCCAGGAATATCTTCTCCTGGTAGATACTGCTTTCAGGAAAGGAATAGATGTTCTTGTTCAAAGTGGGCATTTTTTCTCCTTATTCAGAAAGTTGGTGGGTTTTCAGCATGCAAATATTGGCTGTAAGGTCTTCTCTCATTTTTGACTTACTGCTTGTTTTCTTCTTCCACAGCAGTCAGTCAATAAGGAAAAGCCCCAGGATTTCAGACTGGGCTCACAATCTATGGCACAGTAAGCAACTTCTCCTTCTAAACAATTTGTGATAATAAGTAGTAGAGTTGTTTTGTTTTGTGTTTTTTTTTTCCCCCACTGTGCAACCCATTTCAGTGCCACTAGCCTCCAGGCAGAGGCCAGACAGTGGTTCAGAGCCACAGTTTGCTCTGGCCTGGGATGCTATGAGAGGCCAGGAGGATGGTTCTGCCATAAATCCAAACCCATACATAATTGGGTTGTGTTTTAAGAAAAATTTTCTCATTTCCCTTTTTTATTACATAATAAAATTAGTTAAGTTTCAGATAATTGATTTTTAAGAGTTTAGTGTAAACTTAGGAAAATATTTTAGTGGTTGGTCTAAGAATGTGTTATGAAACATAAGAAACAGTATTAAATAAAATTATGCCACACTAAATTTTAGAGGACCTATTTTGTCATTTACTTTTATTTGTATAACATTTTGAAATAGTATTAACTGAAAACAAGTAATTTATTCAATAACAAAATTATGAAATGCCTATTTTGAGGCATTGAAGAGAAAAAAGATAATGAGAATATTATCACTATATATTCATACTATTTTACTAATAAAATATAAATGTAACAACTGTGAATGGCTTGGTTACCTACCATGCCATCCCACCCACCCTCAGATACATGGGTACATGTCTGTAACGGGTGCACTCAAACCATCCCTGTTTAGTTTCCTTCAGGAAAATCCAAGTTCAGGTTAACATATGCTGCATGCTTTCACTATAACAAGAATATTTGTCTCTTTTAGAACTTCAAAAATTCTGATTCAGATGATAATTTAGAAGAATTGTCAAATAAAACCATGCAGTATTTCACAAGATAGGATTTCATTTCACAGATGAAAGACATGTACAATTTTTAAGTGGACTTCAAAAGAGTCACAGAATCAATATCTAAAAGATACCTTAGAAATTCTTTCCACAACCCCTCCATCTTCATAAACTAAGGGGAAAGGCCTTGTGCAAATTTCATAGGGCACATTTATGTCAGCACCTATGCCAAGACCAAAGTCTCCTGGTCCTCAGACAACTGAGGTTTTAAGTTTGTTTCCTTTCCAGCTAAGATTCAGTGTCCACAGATTCTTTTTTTTGTTTTTTTTTTTTTTCATTTTTCTTTTATTATTCATATGTGCATACAAGGCTTGGGTCATTTCTCCCCCTGCCCCACCCCTCCCTTACCACCCACTCCCCCCCCCCTCCCCCTCAATACCCAGCAGAAACTATTTTGCCCTTATTTCTAATTTTGTTGTAGAGAGAGTATAAGCAATAATAGGAAGGAACAAGGGCTTTTGCTGGTTGAGATAAGGATAGCTATACAGGGCATTGACTCACATTGATTTCCTGTGCGTAGGTGTTACCTTCTAGGTTAATTCTTTTTGATCTAACCTTTTCTCTAGTACCTGTCCCCTTTTCCTATTGGCCTCAGTTGCTTTAAGGTATCTGCTTTAGTTTCTCTGAGTTAAGGGCAACAAATGCTAGCTAGTTTTTTAGGTGTCTTACCTATCCTCACCCCTCCCTTGTGTGCTCTCGCTTTTATCATGTGCTCATAGTCCAATCCCTTGTTGTGTTTGCCCTTGATCTAATGTCCACATATGAGGGAGAACATACGATTTTTGGTCTTTTGGGCCAGGCTAACCTCACTCAGAATGATGTTCTCCAATTCCATCCATTTACCAGCGAATGATAACATTTCGTTCTTCTTCATGGCTGCATAAAATTCCATTGTGTATAGATACCACATTTTCTTAATCCATTCGTCAGTGTGGGGCATCTTGGCTGTTTCCATAACTTGGCTATTGTGAATAGTGCCGCAATAAACATGGATGTGCAGGTGCCTCTGGAGTAACAGTCTTTTGGGTATATCCCCAAGAGTGGTATTGCTGGATCAAATGGTAGATCAATGTCCAGCTTTTTAAGTAGCCTCCAAATTTTTTTCCAGAGTGGTTGTACTAGTCTACATTCCCACCAACAGTGTAAGAGGGTTCCTTTTTCCCCGCATCCTCGCCAACACCTGTTGGTGGTGTTGCTGATGATGGCTATTCTAACAGGGGTGAGGTGGAATCTTAGTGTGGTTTTAATTTGCATTTCCTTTATTGCTAGAGATGGTGAGCATTTTTTCATGTGTTTTCTGGCCATTTGAATTTCTTCTTTTGAGAAAGTTCTGTTTAGTTCACTTGCCCATTTCTTTATTGGTTCATTAGTTTTGGGAGAATTTAGTTTTTTAAGTTCCCTATATATTCTGGTTATCAGTCCTTTGTCTGATGTGTAGCTGGCAAATATTTTCTCCCACTCTGTGGGTGTTCTCTTCAGTTTAGAGACCATTTCTTTTGATGAACAGAAGCTTTTTAGTTTTATGAGGTCCCATTTATCTATGCTATCTCTTAGTTGCTGTGCTGCTGGGGTTTCATTGAGAAAGTTCTTACCTATACCTACTAACTCCAGAGTATTTCCTACTCTTTCTGTATCAACTTAAGAGTTTGGGTCTGATATTAAGATCCTTGATCCATTTTGAGTTAATCTTGGTATAGGGTGATATACATGGATCTAGTTTCAGTTTTTTGCAGACTGCTAACCAGTTTTCCCAGCAGTTTTTGTTGAAGAGGCTGCTATTTCTCCATCGTATATTTTTAGCTCCTTTGTCAAAGATAAGTTGCTTATAGTTGTGTGGCTTCATATCTGGTCCTCTATTCTGTTCCACTGGTCTTCATGTCTTTTTTGTGCCAGTACCATGCTGTTTTTATTGTTATTGCTTTGTAATATAGTTTGAAGTCAGGTATTGTGATACCTCCTGCATTGTTCTTTTGACTGAGTATTGCCTTGGCTATTCGTGGCCTCTTGTGTTTCCATATAAATTTAACAGTAGATTTTTCAATCTCTTTAATGAATGTCATTGGAATTTTGATGGGAATTGCATTAAACATGTAGATTACTTTTGGGAGTATCGACATTTTTACTATGTTGATTCTACCAATCCATGAGCATGGGAGATCTCTCCACTTTCTATAGTCTTCCTCAATCTCTTTCTTCAGAAGTGTATAGTTTTCCTTGTAGAGGTCTTTCACATCTTTTGTTAGGTTTACACCTAGGTATTTGATTTTTTTGAGGCTATTGTAAATGGAATTGTTTTCATACATTCTTTTTCAGTTTGCTCATTGTTAGTGTATAGAAATGCTAATGATTTTTCTATGTTGATTTTATATCCTGCTACCTTGCTATAGCTATTGATGATGTCTAGAAGCTTCTGAGTAGAGTTTTTTGGGTCTTTAAGGTATAGGATCATGTCATCTGCAAATAGGGATATTTTGACAGTTTCTTTACCTATTTGTATTCCTTTTATTCCTTCTTCTTGCCTAATTGCTCTGGCTAGGAATTCCAGTACTATGTTGAATAGGAGTGGAGATAGTGGGCATCCTTGTCTGGTTCCTGATTTTAGAGGGAATGGTTTTAGTTTTTCTCCGTTAAGTATAATGCTGGCTGTAGGTTTGTCATATATAGCTTTTATAATGTTGAGGAACTTTCCTTCTATTCCTAGTTTTCTTAGAGCTTTTATCATGAAATGATGTTGGATCTTATCAAAGGCTTTTTCTGCATCTATTGAGATGATCAAGTGGTTTTTGTCTTTGCTTCTGTTAATGTAGTTTATTACGTTTATTGATTTTCGTATGTTGAACCACCCCTGCATCCCTGGGATGAAGCCTACTTGGTCGTGGTGAATAATCTTTTTGATGTGTTGCTAAATTCGGTTTGCCATTATTTTGTTGAGGATTTTTGCATCAATGTTCATTAAGGAGATTGGCCTATAGTTCTCCTTTTTGGAGGTGTCTGCCTGGTTTTGGATAAGTGTAATACTGGCTTCATAAAATGTGTTTGGCAGTTTTCCTTCCCTTTCTATTTCATGGAACAGTTTAAGGAGGGTATCAGTTCTTCTTTAAAGGTCTGATAGAATTCAGCAGAGAATCCATCAGGTCCTGGACTTTTCTTTTTGGGGAGACTCTTGATTGCTGCTTCAATTTCATTTTGTGTTATAGGTCTATTCAGGTGATTAATTTCCTCTTGGTTCAGTTTTGGATGATCATATGTATCTAGAAATCTGTCCATTTCTTTTAGATTTTCAAATTATTTGAATATAGGTTCTCAAAGTAGTCTCTGATGATTTCCTGGACTTCCATGGTGTTTGTTGTTATCTCCCCTTTTGCATTCCTGATTCTACTAATTTGGGTTTTTTCTCTCCTCATTTTAGTCAGGTTTGCCAGGGGTCTATCTATCTTGTTTATTTTTTCAAAGAACCAACTTTTTGTTTCATTAATTCTTTGTATGGTTTTTTTGGTTTCTATTTCGTTGATTTCAGCTCTTATTTTTATTATTTCTCTCCTTCTATTTGTTTTGGGATTTGCTTGTTCTTGTTTTTCTAGGAGTTTGAGATGTATCATTAGGTCATTGATTTGGGATCTTTCAATCTTTTTAATATATGCACTCATGGCTATAAACTTTCCTCTCAAGACTGCCTTAGCTGTGTCCCATAGGTTCTGGTAGGTTGTGTTTTCATTTTCATTGACTTCCAGGAACTTTTTAATTTCCTCTTTTATTGCCCACAGATTCTTTAGTAAGGTATCATTTTATTCTGTTTTTGAGAGGTAAGCTATATTGATATTACATAACTGTGTGTAGTCCCAGATAGCTTCAGAGCACCTTTGCCCACATTATCATTATCACACTTTATCCTCACAACAGCCATGGGAGAGAGGCAGACCAGCATTCTAGCCCCTTTTTTGCCAGTAGAAAAACAAAATCTAAAAGACTGAATGAACCTTGTCCAAGTCCCTGTATGTAGTATATGGCAGACCCAGTAGCAGAACACAGGTCTGCTAGCCCAATCTAGTCCTCTTTCTGTGCTCTCCTTCCTCTTGTCCCTCACACACCACATACCCCTAGGTGTCCCAGGTATTTTTATTTATCTGCCAACTATGTTTTCAATTCATTGAAATT